CAACTCTTGTCCCTACCTGTAAAGGTCAGTCACCACTGCGTCGCGCCGCTGCACGCCGATAGTACACAAATCGCCGCTGAAGGCTACTACCACCGTTACGTCGCTCTGAGTCGGCCGCGAAAAGCGTCGAACTCCCAAAGCTTCCGCCAAGACGACTGCTGAACCTCGATCGGTTGATATGGTGATCTCCACGGCGGCACACCAAGCTCCGTCGCCAAAGAGTTGCGCAAATCGGAGAAGATCGAGACTAAGACGGGGATGTGCGACCTAGCAAAATTGCAACAGGGTTCGAGGTTGAAGAAGCTGAGTAGGGAGGGCTGGCTCTTGATAAAGCTCACGGCGAAGGTGAGGGGGAGGTAGATGCAGACGAAGGAGAGGAAACGAGTTCTTCGGTCGCGTCGGATAAAGAAGAAAGAGATGGATTAAGGTTCTCAGAAGGAGGGAGAGGACGAAGGTAGGAAGTGTGGCGGACGATGGGGAGGGAGCTATGGCTGGCGCTGGCTTCGGGCGCGATGCGCACCGTGTAAGCTCCGTTGGGACCGAGCTCTACGACGCGGAAACAGCCAGAAAACTTGGGAGCGAGTTTGTGGTCGCGTGCACATTTGCGTACCTGCACCAGATCCCCTAACTTATATTGGTGTTGTGGGCCCGCATTCCCGTTCCGGGCCTCGTAGCTACGGACCGGCCTACCGTGGGCCAGTCTCGTCATTTTTTGTCTTTTCCAGGCCAGCTTAGGAACGGCCCTTTCCATTAAATCCGCATATCTCTTGGCTTTGGCCTTAAGGGCCGCACGCGTGTCCCGACCCCCTTTGTCGGCAATTTCTTCGGTACCCCGATTGTCGACACATGGGAGGCTATTAGTTCGAAGCTGGAAGGGGGTGAACCCTATGGACTCATGAGGGGTGGCTCGGTGGATTATGACGATTTGATAGACTATCTCGGGCCGCGGACGCGTGTCGCGGGCCGCTAAGTTCTTACGGAGGGCGGTCTTAATCATGTGATTCGCATTCTCTGCCAGCCCGTTCGATTGGGAAATATGGGGAGCGGTGTGTCGGAGCATAACACCACGACTCATTAATAATTCCTCTACCTCACCTTTAAATTCTGATCCATTGTCGATTAGAATCTCCTCTGTATCTAGGTGGGTATTAAGGAATCGGTCGATGAACGTGGCTATCTCTAAGGCCTTTCGGGTTCTACACGGATAGACTTCGATGTATTTCGAGAAATGATCGATCAACACCAAGAAAATGGAGTATTCGAAGCGGTTGGGGCCAGGTGGCACATCTATATCAGTTGTGTCCATACTGACTCGTTGGAACGACCGTTCTACTTCTGTAGAGACTATCGTATTTGGCCCACGGAGGGGCGCGCGGTCGGCAGCACAGACTAGACAGTTAGCGACCAAGTGCTTCACATCGTCACGGATATTAGACTAGAACCATCGATTTTGGTCGATAGTTGCCTCGGTGACACGTATCGTGAAATGAGTGGCCTGTTCTTCGTGCGCGGACCTAGTCCAGTCATATCTCTGAAAAGGGTGGAGAACTGTCAACCATAGTCCCCATCCGTCCGTCTTACGCTTCTCCAAATGTCCGTTGATCCATCGATAGTCTCGGGATCTTTCGGTAGCCCGACGTCTGTCGTGCTTAGTGAGATGGTCCAATGGTAGGCCCTCTAATTTAGCTAATAAGATTTTATCTCTCCATACCTCCGCTGGTCGGTATTTCTCGTCGTACTCGGGGCTGTCCGTTCGGGCAGCGTCGAATCGAACCTAAGTGGCGAGTTTGTCCATCCTACATAGGGGGCATTTCCATTCCTTACTACTTGTTCGGTATCGAACGCACGCACCGTGCGCACGATTGACACACGTGGCACAGTTCACCCAATCGGCAAATCCAAATTCGAAGGGGTAACAGTTTACTCTGTAAACTCGGGAAATACATGTGCAAAAATAACAAAATTTATCCGGGATTGGGCGAGGGGATCAGGAGAGGTGGGAGAGACTAAGTCAGGGGGAGTTTCCATCGTTCTAAGAGACGAGAATTGGAAAGGGAAGGAGAGGGTCGGGTACACGCGTCCACTGAGCCCTCCGGTAGAATCTCCACTTGTCCGTATCGAGGCTCGTTCGCCGGTTCCGGGTCGCGCCAGGGGGTCACTTCCTCACTCCTTGGCACCTTGTCGGGACGATGAAGTCATGTCAGTCCGTCTGCGATGCCGTGTTTCTCGTGTTTCCGATGACGGATGTCGAAGTCCATACTCTGCAGTATGGTGGCCCATCGCCCGATCATGCCCGAGTAATCTTTGGATTTCTTCAGCGCCAACAACAGTTCGTGGTCGGTTACCAGCGTAAATCTTCAGCCATACAAGTACGCTCGAAAATGACTGATCCCCCACAAGGCTGCATAGCATTCCCCCGTCGGGGCCGCGTAGTTGCGCTTACAGGACGACACCGTTTTGGACGCGTATTCCACCACGTGTTCGAGGCCGTCGGGTCCCACCTGGGCCAAGATCGCTGAAACCGCCTCCGGTTGCCAATCGGTGATGAGAACAAAGGGCTTTTCTGGGTCCGGCCTTATGAGGACCTGGGCCGAAACCAGGGCCGCCTTGAGTTCTCCAAAAGCCCGATCGCATTGCGGGGTCCACATCAACGGCTGATCCTTCTTTAGCAGATTCGTGAGTGGTCCCTCGATCGCTACAAACCCCTTGATGAACCTTCGATAGTACGATGCCAAACCCAAAAAGGCGAGGACTTGGGTTATGGACGTCGACACCAGTGCTTCTTTCACAGTTGTCACTTTCTGGGGCTCTTGTTGCAACCCTTGGTTCGTAAAGACGTGGCCGAGAAAGGAGATCTCTGTGAGGAAAAACAGGCACTTCTCAACCGCCACTTTGAATCCTGCGTCCTTCAGTGCGTGCATTGTCCACTCAATGTGTTGCACGTATCCGTCATAAGCAGGGTTGTCGACCCCGGGGCCCGGGGCCCCGGCGGGGGTCCCGGGGGCCGGGGGTCGGCACCCCCGACCCCGACTTTCAAAAAAAAAAAAAAAAAAAAAATCGAAAAAAAATCGAAAAAATAA